TTCGCCTCTGTCTGTGTATATGTCTGTATATGAATATATGTATACTGTATGTACATATCTGTGTATATTCTGTTTATATCGCACGATCACATTCGCACCGTGCATCTATCGCACAATCACATCCGCACCGTGCATCTATTGCACGATCATAACCATATTGTGCATCTATCGCACAATAAAGCATCTACCGCACACTTTCAATTCCATCGCACTATTTTGTGCAATCATACGGTCTAGGAGACCTTAAATCCTCTGGTGTCTAGGAGACCTCCTCCCTTACTCTCAACTGGTGGTAACCTGATCTCAAGTCTATCTTAGAGAAAGGGAGGAGACCCTTTCAACTAATCAAATAGGTCATCTATACGAGACATAGAATACTTGTTCTTAACTGTAACCCGGTTCAACTTTCGGTAATCGATACAAAGTCTCAAGGCCCCATCTTTCTTTTTATCAAAGAGGGCCAGTGCTCCCCAAGGCGAAGTACTACGGTGAATAAAGCCCTTATCTAGTAATTTCTGGAGTTGAATCTTCAACTCACTCAACTCAGCTGGTGCAAAACGACACGGTGCCATAGATATCGGTGTTGTGCCAGGCACTAGATCAATAGAGAACTCGATCTCTCGGTGGGGTGGTAAACTAATAAGATCATCGGGAAAGATGTCGGAGTACTCACAAACCACTCTTGGCAACTCAACCCGGGCCTTATCACACTCACTACTCATAAAGCTAGCGAGAAGACAACTAAGCTCACTCCGCCCGCATGGATTATACACCGGTGGTAAAACTCTACCAACCCGATCCCCTAAGAAATAAAAACAATCAACGTTCAAGGTACATACAGTAACTCTCTGACGGTAGCAATCTGTAATAGTCCGGTATGATGATAACCAGTCTATACCCAAAATTACATCAAAACCAGTGATATCCATCAACACAAAAGAAAAGGAAAGTCGATGATCGGCGACCTCTATATCACAACCCCGACACCCCTGTTTCAAAACTATCTCGCCCCCAATAGGTGATACAACACAAATAGGAGATGCTAACTGTGCCAACTCCAACCCCAAAATTGATGCAAATGCAAAAGATACAAAGGAATAGGATGCATTCGTATCAATTAACACATTAGCAACCGAGTTGCAAACAAAAAGGTACCTATCACAACAGATGGAGCCGGTACAAGATCTGGCACTGTAACAGCATATACGCACCTCGTAGGTCTCTGATCTACCTGCTCACCCCTCAGAGCATAAGACTGCTGCATTGATTGAGCCGAAGAGGCTCCTTGATTGGCCCTCGAGGCCTGTACTGACTGCGCTGGCTGGTGATTCTGTGTCTGCCTCGAACCAAACGCACCAGGTGTGCCACCCAACCGTGGGAAATACCTATTCAAGTGCCTCGCCTGCCCACACTGATAACAAGTGAGTGGCTAGCCTCTGCCCTGACTCTGGCCCTGAGAACGAGCCGAAGAGGAAGCTGTTCGCTGCTTTCCTCCCCTCTGTGGGCAAGCTGGAGACTTGTGGCCCAACTGACCACATTTGTAACAAGTGATGTCTCCCTGACCGCCTCTCCCAGAACTCGAACTCAGCCTTGGAAAGGTGGATCTCGAATGCACTCCCTGGGACTGCTGAGGGTTAGAGCCCCTCTGCCTCTTACCGTCCCCCTGACCATCCTAGCTCCTTCTGGAGCCCGTCATCCTCTCCTCCTCCGCATACATAATAGTCTCAAGATGGGCTGCAGCCTCCACAAGCCGCCCATAATCCCTAATCATGGACCCGGCAACTCGAAACATGAGCCCGGTCCTCAATTTCTTCTCGAACTCCAAACAACGGCACTCTTCTTTTGCCACTAACTCCGGTGCCAACCTAGACAAGCTAGTAAAGGTAGCCTCAAACTCAGCCACTGGTGTATTCAACTGTTTGAGCTGAGAAAACTGATCCCTCAACTTCTTCCTCACTGTAGCAGGTAAGTACTTGTCCTAGAAAGCTTTAACAAAGGCCTCCCAAGTCTCTCCAATGCGCCCTCGCGCATACTTCAACCACTGACCTACGTCTCCCTTCAGCTGGAAGGATGCCAAGGTCACCCTCAAACCTCCATCTTCGATGCCGAGCATCTCAAACGTTTTCGTAATCTGTTCAAGCCACTCATCAGCCTTCAATGGCTCCTTAGGATTACCCAAAAACTCATCCGGATTCGACCGAAAGAACTCCCTCTTCAGAAAAGATGGCCCTGCCTCAGCTACTTAGGCCTGGACTTGACTTTCAGCCCTGATAATGTCCATAGATTCCCTCAATGCTCCTGCCATTTCACGGGCTAAGGCGCCCATGGCCTGTTGACCTACTGGCTCGGCCACGTTGGCCTGACCAACTCCCTCCTCCTGCACCGGAATTTCATCCGGTATAGGCATCTCATGCCTCCTAGGCCTACCGTGCCTACCACCACGACCTTATCCTGACATCCTAAGGTAACAAAGAGATTAGCACATTTACAAATGTGCCGAAGCTATCTCACTCACGTCCTAATACGATGGACAACAGTAATTCACTCCACATAAGCATATAATCACATAAGCACGTACAAACTTCATTTCCGGATAATGACCGTCCCGTGGCGTTGTTAAAGTTCCAGTTGGAAACGGCAGTGATCAAGTGCCTTTCCAACAGGACTCCGAGAAACCCATGGACCCGATCAACATCCTAGAAATTAAATCTCATACCCATATAGTCACATAAACATGTTATCATATAAGCACATAATCACTCATACTTAAGTCTCTAACAAACGAGACAAACCCAATGTGGTACTAACCACTTCCCACGTACCCAAAGTATTCAAACCCGGTACGCTCTGATACCAAGTTGTCACGCCCTCAAAATATGATATAATAAATCATTCGCAAGATCCATAGACATAATAGAAATGTTATATTTTCATTCATCAGAGTTAATATTACAAATAGCTATCACATGCATTACACTTTCATAAATGTTCATCTTGAAACTATAACATGTAACCCTAATTGAGAACAACAAAATAAATGCCTTAGGGGCATACATCTTTCCAAGAATTCGCTTGGTTACAACAAAAGAAAAGTCTAGTCTCTATACAAGTAAAGCCCTCGACTTGAATAAACATTCAATACAAAATGAAATCACAAAAGTGGAGCCTTCAGCCCCTAAGCCTCCCAAGCTATGTCCTTAGAGGTGGCATGTCACCTATACCTGAAAATGGTTTCCCAAGTAGGGTGAGTCAAAGCCCAGTAGAGATATGCTAAACAATATATGAGAATTAACTAAGCTAACAGCATCAGATAAATGTTCAATACTAGTAAATCAACTTACACCTCTTTCATGACCAATCAATATCGACATCCGTATTTCATCCAAATCAATTCATTAACATAGTTCATTGTTGTCTAAACAATTCAAAACGAGACTACAACTCATTTATCAACACTTTAATAACAAACATTATTCAACATTTCTATTTTCTTGCCATTTTACAGAATCACATCCTAGGGAACCGGCACCCATATATGTGTAATTTTGGAACTTTCACCCTGGACACTCCGGTCAACTTAATTATCAATGGAGTCCCCCTATCTCCTCCCAAACAATGGAGTACATCCCCTATCTCCTCCCAAACAATGATACATATACAATGTATTTAAAAGCATGTCATATACAATGACTACCAAAATTCACATATTCAACAATTTAATCAATCCGTCATATTCAATGACACTATTCATATGACTAGTTCCGATTTACCTAGTCCTCATACAGTTTCTACAACAATCATAGCTATCCTCCATCGATAGCCTAAAATAGATATTTTCTAAACAGATAAACAAATCTATCAGTAGATAAATTATCAAATTTTCATAGGTGTGTGATTTATTAAACCAAACTACACCATCCAAACACATTTTTCCCAAATTTCATAATTTCCAAACCAATTTCATTATTTACACAAATAGTTATTTCAACTCAACTTAGGGCAATTTTCCCCCTATTCCAAAACATCAACCCATAGGTCCAAATCTCTCCATTTCAGCAATAATGAATCTCATACACAAACCCCCCAAGGTTCCAAGTTTACTTTGTAAATCAACATGAAAACCCCTCTTTTAGTTTAGAGCCCAAACCTTAGCTTTTACCCAAATCTTCCCAAATCCCACCATTTATACAAAATGACAAATATCTAGGTTAAAGCTCATATTAAAGAGTAGAATATCCCTACCTCGAGTATAGAAGCTCAAAGGAGAAGAAGGAAGAAACCTTGAAGATGACCAAACTCCACCTTTTTTGGATCAAATGGAAGCTCACGCTATACTCTATCTTTTTAACAAAAGAAGTAGGGTAGAAAAGCCCTAGATCATAGAGTATTTGTAGAGAGAGAGAGAGAGAGAGAGTTTTAGAGAGAGGAGGTGCTGGGTTAGGGTTTTTAAGGAAAAAGAAGATCAAAAGTGGTGTAAAATATCTCTGCTGCGAACTACTATACGCGGTCTTCGCTCGAGCAACTAGATACAACAAATGACCTCACTCGAGCGCAAGAAACGTTGTTCGAGCACACAATGCAAAGTTTCAGGTCTGTCACAAACATAGACGCACGCTCGAGCGCAAGAAGTCTCGCTCGAGCGAAGAACCAATTTCACAAGGCTCGCTCGAGCGCAAAAAGTCTCGCTCGAGCGAAGCAATTCATTTTCCCAGAAAAGCTGCATCTGGGAAAAAGACCTGAGGACTCTCAATCCTTGCTCAAGCGCAAGAAGCCTCGCTCTAGCGAAGAAGTAAACTACTCAAAGCTCGCTCGAGCGAAGAGACCAAAATCTGGGCAACAAACATTTATACCAACTAACAACCAACTTGTTCCAAACTCACCCAACAAGTTCCAAGACTCAAATACAATTAGTCAAAGGGGAAAAACAAGACAGGGATACAATATTCAACCACGGAACCCAAGTCTGGGACACAATGAAGGTCAGGGAAAAATCGGGATCGCTATATATCCACCGAATCTGCTGCTACTCCATAAGCGAGCATCCTCATAACAGCTGTCATTTTTTGAAGGGAAGACAAACTAATGATTCCAATAGCATCTGTTTTCTGGACAAAATATGATCGTATGCTTCCACCGTAAATAGAATATGAAGAAAGAGAGATCGATTCATCCAGAATCTCCTCCTGAATAAATAGGCAGGATATATAGCTATTTCTGAAAAGTAGTCTTGATAAAGTCTCTCATGGCCTTGAACTCGATTACAATAAATAACTGCATGGCCTTCAATGGAACCACTACGTCTTCTCAAACATCTTTCTCTATTGAGTCGCTCTTCTTCTATTGCAGCTATCGTTATTAACTGCAATTCGTCATCACCGTCAAAGTCATTAAGAATCATTTTCATGGTATTGTGAGCCATGGTAATTAAAAAATGAATGAAGTTGAGAAATATAGTTCAAATTGGTAAAAATGAAAGAGCAAATCCTTTTTATAAACAAACGTATATGACCGTTCGGAATATGTCCGTTAGAGAATATTACCATTTGAAAATATGTCCATTGAGAGAATATTACCATTTGAAAATATGACCGTTGAGATAATATGATTGTTTGAAAATATTTTTTTATAAATAATTTAATTATATATTTTAAATGCATAAATATTTGCCAATGCCACGTCAATGTATGTAGCATGTCATAAAAAGATTATTTATTTATTTATTAATGTTTATAATAGATTTCTTTTAAAAATTAGTTAAGTTAGTTTGATTGGTTAACTAAAATAAGGAGTATGGTTGGAGTGTACACTAGCTAAACTAGTCAGGCAAAATAAAGAATGTAGTTTTCTGTGTACTTTTTTTTTTTTTTTTTTTGAACACAAGAAAGTAAGAAACAGAACAGCAACAAGAAGAGACAAGCTAAGAGGCATTAAGCAAGAACTCCAAGGTAGCTGGTGGCTGTCCCACCCAGTTAAGAGGGAGATAACCATAGAGGGAAGCTTGGGCCACCCAATGCGCAACTTTGTTGGCTGTTCGAGGACTCCAATGAAAGGAGAAGTGCCCCTGAGTCGCCAATCTCTTGATGTCCTTGAAAATAGCTCCACACTCCCATGGCGGGGCGTCTTCGGAAACACATAAGCTGATAACATCTTTGTTGTCCCCTTCGATCTCTACCGAGTTAAGGTTACAATCCACTGCTAATTGACATGCACTCCCGCAAGCTAAAGCTTCACCTTGCAAAGAGGAACTGACCCTCCAGCTTTGCATATGTCAATCAATCAAATTACCGCTTTCATCTCGTAGAAGTACCGCAGTTTAAGCCGAATGAGAACCTTTTTTGATAGCCACATCACAGTTAATTTTGAAAGACCCGAAGCTGGGGGCTTGCCAGCCGGCCACCCTTGGAAGACAATCCAGCAGACTTTGGTGTTTCCTCACAGCCCTAGAAGCAGTAGCTGAGTCGAACTCCTCATTCGCCACTCGAGCTCGATAAAACGTCGAGGAGGGCTCTATAGGATGATGGTTGAAAACCAAGTTGTTTTGGTCTTTCCAAATATACCACCCAATCCACACAACAAAGATAAGAAGATTTCCCCACTCATGAACAGAATGAAGTTGTTCTAACAGATTACAAGACCAATGAAGAACCGAGCAGCTAGGACCGTCAACAATAGAGTACCTGAGATCACAACCAAACCAAACTGCTCGGACCCAGTCACATCCAAAAAGAAGATGTTCAATAGTTTCTGGAAACTTTTGGCAAATCGGGCAAAGATTCGAAGGAGCACACCGCCTCCGATACAAATTTACTTTAGTAGTGAGCCCATTGTTGTACACCCGCCACCAAAAATTTTTGAGTTTGGGAGGAACCTTTAAAGCCCACAGCAACTTCCAAAAATTTTTAGGAGGCTGGAAAGAGAAAGAAGGAGGGGAAGAAAAACCGCTGCTCACCTTAGTCGAAGCTGTGGAATAACCTGATCGCACCGAATACTCGCCTTTGGACTCAAAATGCCAAACAAGGGAGTCAGCTGTGTTGTCCATAGCAATTGGGATTAATCTAATAGCTTCGACTTCGGCTTCAGACACCAGGTTTGTCAAAGATTCAATCCTCCAGCTCCTTGAGTGGGCATCAATAATATCCTGAACATGTTGAATCCCAGACTCCGTAGGTTTCGATGAGAGAACTTTGAACCCAGGAATTGAAGGAATCCATTTGTCATCCTAGAAATTGATGGCAGCTCCATCGTTCACTGGCCAATAAACACCCTCTTGAAGCAGTTGACGGCCCTGAATTAGACTTGCCCATACCCACAACGCTCTCCTTCCTCTGGCAGCGTGCAAGAAGGAAGTGTTGGGGAAATAAATTTCTTTCAGTAGGCGAGCACAAAACGAGTTTGGATACTTCAATAATCGCCAACCTTGCCGAGCTAAAAGAGCCAAATTGAAAGAATTAAAGTCTCTAAAACCCATACCTCCTTGATGTTTCGGCAAAGTCATATGACCCCAATTCAACCAATTAATTCCCTTCCCTTCTGGATCTCCCCTTCACCAAAAATTTCGAATGTAAGCATTAAGTTTGTCATAGAATTTTTTAATAAAGGCAAAGCACGCCATGGCATAAGATGGGATGGCCTGAACCACCGCCTTAATCAAGATCTCCTTCCTAGCTTGGGACAACAAATTTTGTTTCCAACCTTGCAATTTGGATAGGATCCGCTCAATAAGATACTCATAGGCTTCCGCTTTAGATCGCCCCCAAAAAGATGGTAAGCCTAAGTACTTCGAATTAGGATGAGACACACTTAGGCCAGCCGCATTGCAGATAGAGGAGCTAACAGTGGCAGGAGTGTTTGCTGAAAACTGGACACTAGATTTCTCAAAATTTACCAACTGACCCGAGGCTTCACAGTAGATCTTGAGAATAGCTAGCATATGAGTACATTCTTCAACATCTGCTTTAAGAAAGAGGAGCACATCATCCACAAAAAGAAGGTGGGACAAGGTAGGGCAGTGCCTAGCTAACTTAAAACCTGAAAGCAGGTTATTATGAAGACTCCGAGTTAAAAGTTTGGAGAGCACATCTGCCACCAAAATAAATAGGTACGGGGATAAAGGGTCACCTTGACGAAGTCCACGAGTCGGAATTATAGAAGCCCGCTTTTCTCCATTTGCAAAAATTGAGAAAGTGACCGTAGTCACACATTCCATGACCCACCGGATCCAAACAGTATGAAATCCCATCTTTTGCAAGAGTGCAGACAGGAAATCCCATTCAACACGGTCATAGGCTTTGTTGAAATCAAGTTTAACGGCCATGTGCCCGAACGACCCTTTCTTCTTTAGCTTCAAAAAATGGAAAGCCTCATCGGCTACAATGATGTTATCCTGAATCAAGCGTCCAGGAACAAAAGCAGATTGGTTCAGAGAGATAAGACCCTTCAAAAAAAAATTCAGTCTATTAGCCAGGATTTTTATAATGATCTTTATGCTAAAATTACACAAACTGATTGGGCGAAATTGAGACAATTTTACCGGGTTAGCAACTTTAGGTAGAAGGACTAAATTTGTCTGATTAAGTTCCTTGAGCAAATGACCTCCCAAAAAGAAACTTTTCACCGCTTTGCACACCTGATCACCCACAGCATCCCAATATGTCTGATAGAAAAAACCTGGAAATCCATCTGGCCCGGGTGATTTGAGGGCTCCAAGCTGAAAAACAGCCCCTTTAATTTCTTCATCACAGATTAAGGCAGTCAATTGGCAATTCATGACATCCGAAATTACTGGCTCAATCACCGATAAGGCCTCCCCAAAATCTCTCTGGCCAACACTAGTGAACAGATTGGTGGAAAAACCATACATATGAGGATTAACCTCAGTGTCTGAAGAAAGCCAAGTCCCATCCTTTGTTTGAAGTTGAAGAATCTGATTCCTCTGCCTTCGTTGAATCATAGATGCATAAAAAAAGTTAGTGTTCTTATCCCCAAAATTAAGCCAACGTATTCGGGATCGTTGGTGATAGAACATTTCCTCCCTCGCAAGAAGCACTTCAAGATCAGCTTTTACATGCATCTAATTCCTCAAATTGTCATCCGAAAATGATTGTGCTTGAAGAGTTTCCAATTCTGACTTTAGGCGATAAATTTGGATTTGATTGTTGCCAAAGTGTTCTGTACTCCAAGCTTTAAGACTTTTCCTACACAGTTTAAGCTTCTGGAGCAGTTGGTACATAGGGGACCCTATATGAGGTTCATCCCACTTGGTACGAATCACTTCTTCACATAATGGGCTAGTAGACCACATTATCTCAAACTTAAAAATCCTGGGAACCCTTTTAAGAGGAACACAACAATTAAGCCCTACAGGGCAATGATCAAACCCAACTTGAAGCTCATGAAACACTTGGGCGCAAGGAAAAAGAGTTCTCCACTCTACATTCGCAACAGCCCGAGCTAATCTTTCTCTCACATTATGAACCCCTCTCTGATTATTCGACCAAGTGAAAGGGCAGCCCTTAAATTCCAAATCCAAAAGAGCACAATTAGATAACAGTTCGAGGAAAAATTGAAGTTGGGTCATTCGGCATTCGGTTCCCCCTTCTTTCTCTCCAATCAGACCAATCTCATTAAAATCACCAATGCAAACCCAAGGATAGTTGTTAGCTAGAGCCATCTATTTAAACTGAACCCAGAAGTTTCTACGGAGTGACCTTTGCGGAGGAGCATACACAAACGAGATTGCCCAGGAAGATGAAAAACTAGAAGTAGAAATGACTGCTCTAATCATGTTCCTCGATTTGTGCCTAACATCCAGCTGAATATCATCCATCCACCATAGAGCTAACCCCCCTAAAAGACCTTCTGGTTCGACATAACAATGATTTGTGAAGTGGAGACGTCTCCGAATCCTCTCCAGTGACACGGATTTATTCTTAGTTTCCATTAGAAAGACCACTTTGAGACGATGGGTTGAAACCAACCCTCGGAGGATCTGGACTGTCAGGGGTTGATGGGTTGAAACCAGCCCTCGGAGGATCTGGACTGTCAGCGGTCGCCCCAACCCCTGACAGTTCCAGCTCAAAATCAACATGATGATTAGGGCTGTTTAGGGCCAGCCGCCAAAGCCCATTCACCCACATCATCAGCATTAGCAAGAGGATATGTACTAGGAACCTGTGAACAACATTCATCAGCCTCTGTAGACGAATAGGCTGTCAACCGGGATGGAAAAGAAAACTCTGCTGTGACCACTTTAACTTAATATAAGTCACCTTGTAACCTTTTTTTGGCTTTACATGTTCCCCTCTTGCCCCGACCTCTAATAAGAGATGAATTCTAAGTGCAAATTGATAAGGAAGAATGAGATACAGAGAGACCCCAGTTGTAAAAGCATCAGTGGCAACCTCAGAGCCTTTAAGCAATTTAGGCAGTCTACCTACGCATTCAATCTCCTCCTGGCCTTACGTTTTAAAGTTAGACTAGTAAAAACAGTAGCCATACACTCATCAATCACTATAGTCTTCAAATCAGTGTTGGTTGGGCTTGAGGAAGGACTAAGCTCTTCAATCCCAATTGGGCTGGAACTGGTTTGAATCAAGGCTGTCTTATGGACTGGGCATAGTGGAAGCTCAACTGTCTCGGTAACAAAATAAAGGGGCCCACTAGGGGCCTTGGGCTCCCCCAGGCTATTACTTGCTTCATTTGGAGGAGGTTCCTTCAGACCAGATCCAGAAGGAATAGGATTTTCATTACCTATAGGATAATGTGCATCTATATTCTGCATAGCACGCCCTTGAGCATCCGAATGTCCGAATTCTTGAGCACCTCTGTAGTGTCCTTCTCACGCCCCCACTTCTCCACGATCTCCACACTAGTACCAGGGACATGCTCTGTCAATTGTACAGGTTTACCACGTACTCATCCTGCACCAGACTGGCCAACCTTGTCCTCACCACCTTCTAAACCACGCGCCACCGTAGGTGCCCTCGGAGCGGACATGCCAGCAGGTTGTTCTCTAAACCGATTCAATAGAGGTCTAAGCCTAATATCCATCTCATCCACATGTTGTTTGTAGTATTCCACTGGTAGTCCAGTGCTCCGGGCTATACCAGTCCGCAAATCTGGCCCATACCCAGACCTCATTCCTTCCTCTCAAGTGACAAATTTGCAAGCCTTCCTATCATGGCCTATTCTCCCACAATCAAAACAAAAATCAAATAACTTTTCAAACTTGAAAGAAATCCAAGGGTTGGAGGAGGCCGCTTGAAGAGAATCATTATGCTGGAGAAAGAAACCACGAGGGAGGGGTTTGGAGATATAGAGTTCCACACGGATTCGGTGAAAATTTCGATAGAGCAATAGACCTTCACAGTGTGCTTCTACCCGAATAAGGCGGCCAATCCGATTACCAATCAACTCCCCATTAGCCTTGGTCAGTTTCTCAGGAGGGAGGCCATGAACTTGAACCCAGAAAGGGCTCCACAGAAATTCCAAAGCAGTAACCGGAGTTCCTTTCTACAAGGGTTAGAGAATCATCAGGTTGCCCATGATAGACCACGGTGCCTCTTGAAGCACCCACAATCGATCATCTGCATCCTCGAAAGTGAAGAGGAAAAGATTGTCATTCCACGGTGTGATTGAAAAGGAGGCTCTCATCTTCCAAGCTCCTTTGACAATGGATGAGACAGCTGGGATGTTAAGCTGCTTTGGAGCGAAAATTTTCCCTATCAAGCAACGGCGAGACACTACATCACTACAACCAACTCCATCTTCAAGTGTAATGAACTCCAGACCTGGGGCAGAGTTTGACGTACCCATCTTCGCAACGCAAAATAGAGGACACAAAATTGTAAGGTGGAAATAAGGGGGAGATATGGTGGAAGAAGAAAACAGAGGGGAGGAAAGAGGTGTAGAAACTGAACAACAAACCCAAACACAGAATCAATCGAAGCACTGTAAGGGGACTCAGAAAGAGAGAAAAAAATATAAAGGAAAGATGTACACAAGACAGTGGAAAAAACCAGAGAGAAGAACTAGGATAAAGACCTAGAAAACCTACCTAAGGTAGAGAGCCTCCCATTCTAGAGAGATAAAAGCTTACAGATAATATTTTACTTTCTTAGTTTTCTGTGTACTTTGAGGGGGCATTTTAGAGAGTATGGTTGGAGATACTCTTAATAACCTGAAGAAGGACCACCCGGAGCACTTTTTTTTTTTTTCCTATGAAAAATACTAGAAATAGAAACCCCAAGAAAACGGTGCCACACGGATTAGTATATTAATTTATATATATTATTGTCTTTTTAAAATTATAATTTTACTTATTATATAAATTATAAAGTCATTAAAATTATTAGATTTTTTACTAAATATTCATATTGGTGTGGAATGTGAGTGTTTGATTAAAAAATTAATAATTTTCTTGAAGTTTCTAACATTATTTATTTATTTTTTTTAGAGTTACAGGAATTTCTATCGAGTTTTAAAAAGTACACCTTTTTTTTAATTAGCACATATTTCAAATCGCATTTGTTTGTATTGTATCTGCGAAACTGTCCATTTGTATGCGAATCAGTGTGGGTTGTGCGGTCCGGATAACTCTATACCCAGACCTACCATATACATTTTGTGTGATAAATAAATCATCTTAATCTTGAATTATGTCTTAATAACGCAAACCATGATGTTAACAATAATTAACCCACAAAATTCCACAATAAATTTGATATGCATAAAATTTTGTTAATTATAAAGATTATTGAGAATAATAGTATCACAATCACTTGATGATGTAAATAACTTGTATCAAACTATAATGTCATGCAAAAAAATAAAATAAAATACAATAAAAGAGAGAAATCCTATAAACTCATAAAAATTATCATAAATTTACTTAGACTTTTAAATTAGTGGTGTATATTATTATTGTGGGACCAAATTATAATCTCAACTTTTAATTATAATTTATAAGTAGTTTTTAAATTTTTTTAAATTTAAGTTTGTTACCTTGCTCATAAAAAGAATCTCTCAAACAAATCATTAATTAATCATGTTAGTAACTCTTTATCTTTGATCTCCTCTATCAATGAAACATGCATATCATATCAAAGTATAAATCCCTTCTCTATAATCATTTTCTCCATGGTTTGAATAATACTTGCATAGTTTCTATAGTATTTTTAAAAAATTAATCAAGATAAGAACTTTGTAAGATTATAAAAATTATATAAGAAAATAGTTTTAATCCATTTTATTTATAAAAAAATGATAAAAAATTATTTGAATTATATTTGAAAAAAATATAACAAATGATATCTTTAATCATCATATACTAACAAAAAAATTACATAGGTTACTTAACCAAAAAAATAGTCAAATGCAACTAAAGTCATGGATATTGAATTAAATCGTATGAGCTCTATATAATCTAGCAAATCAACTAATAATAATAAAGAGCTATCAACAAATATATAGTACTTCTCTGCCATGTTTGTATTATATTCATTAATTTCATATATCATATGAAAGTTTTACTCGTCTCGATCCTTAAATAAAATAAGCACCAAGAAAACAAATTTGGTAAGAAGTCGATTCTAAACTTTATTATTGAAAAAACAAAAATTTCAAAGAGAAAATTTAGAGATGAGATTGAAAAAATACTATAACAAAAGACAGCCTTAGAGAAGAAGAAGAAAAAAAAAAAAAAGAGAAAGAGCCATAACAATGATCTAAAGCAAACTATTTTTTATAACTAAAAAAAAGAATATCAAATTATTACCTTAAATAAATATAGTGATGAAAATTAATTTTGTGAGATTTTTGTTTTACCTCCTCCCATGCAACCTACATTATTTTATTATTAATAATTTTCTCATTCAGAGCCGACCAATTTCTTTTAATCTTTTATTTTTTATCTTTATCACTTGGTAGATAATGACGAATAATAAAAATTATCAAGAGAAGGTTAAGAATTTAAGAGGGGATAAGAAGTTATAGATAATGACATTTCATAAGATAAAAAATTCAAAATACAAAATATAGCGATCTCGGTCTTTCCCCATTTGGTTGTTGTATCCGGACTTAGGTTCCGTGGAGTTTGTTGTTGTATATGTCTTGATGTCATCCTTTAATTTCTTAGTTTTGAGTTATAGGATGTGTTGGGCAGGTTTGTTTCAGGTTGGATATGATTGGGAGCAAATGGTTGCTACCCAGAATTTTGGTCCTTCGCTCAAGCGAACCTTTTGTCGCTCGAGCGAGATCTGTGTTTTAGATCCTTCGCTCGAGCCAGGGTTCCTTCGCTCGAGCGAGAGTTGAGTTTTGTATCTGGTGGCTCGAGAGAGAAGTCCTTCGCTTAAGCTTACGTCTGCATCTGGTTCTGGACCTGAAGGTTGCAATTCTTCACTCAAGCGAGCTTTTCTTCGCTCGAGCGAGCGAGGTGTTTGTTTTGAGTTTCTTCACTCGAGCGAGAATTTTGTCGCTCGAGCGTGCTTCTGGGTTGCAGACCTGAAGCTTCGCATTCTTGGCTCGAGCGAGGCTTTCTATGCTCAAGCGAGAGTTCTTTGTGTCTGGTCGCTCGAGCGACCAATCCTTCGCTCGAGCGAGCCTGTGTTCTATCAGTAGGCAGCAGTGGATAAACACTTCACTTTTTCATCTCTTTTGTTTTGTAAACCCTAGATCCGAGCTCTCTCTCTCTCTCTCTACACACACCTTCCCTCTAGGGATTTATCTAGTTTTAGTGTGTTTCTACCCTTAGTCCTTTGTAAGAAAGATAGAGGGTGGCTTGGGCTTCGTTTTAATCTGAAAAGTTATGGATTTAGAGCATTTCGGGTGTTCACCATCTTCTCCTTTGGGCTTCTAATTTCGAGGTAGGGATACTCTACTCCATCTTATGAGTTTTGTCTTTAATTTTGGGCATTTTGATTAGTTGGTGATGTTGGGTAATTTTGAAAAAAGTTAGGGTTATTGTGTAATTTATAAAAGAGGGGTTTTCAAATAATAAAACCCATATGTGTGTAAGACATTGAGAAATGGAATTATTGTTGTATTATTGATGAAAATGAACCTTAGGGTTATTATTGTAAATTAGGGAAAAATGCCCTAGTTATGTGATAAATTAATTTGAATAATTAATTTGTGGGATTATGAAATTGAATTGGAGAATTATAAAGTTATATGGTGGGTTGGATAATTTAATTACTCACCAATGAAATTATTGATATTATATCTGTTGACGAATTTATTATCTGTTTAGAAAAAACTGCTTTGGGCTATCAGTGGAGGATAGTCTTGATTGTTGTAGACACTGTATGTTGATTAGGGAAAACTGAAACTAATCACATTGATTATGTCATTGAATATGACGGTTGGAATAATACATTAAATAAGGGTATTAAGTGATCCCTGTATATGATAACTGTTTATATACTTGGAATATGTGTATTGTGTGGGAAGAGATAGGGGATGTACTCCATGGTTTGAGGGAAGATAGGGGATGGACTCTCAAACCTGTTTGGGAGGAGATAGGGGATGGACTCTATTAATATAGCAAATATGTGTATTAAATTGAAGTATTGATACAGCAAATATGTGTATCTATTGTAAAGTATGGAAGTGTTTTAATACGATATTGATATAGCAAATATGCGTATCTATTGTGAAATATGGAAGTGTTTGTATATGAGTTATAGTCTCCTTGAATTGTTTGGCCAGGTTCTGAGCCATGTATATGAAATGATCCGGATAAGTAAAGAAAAATGGAATGTAACATGGACACAAGTGTCATGGAACTGTATTGTGATATAACTGGTTTATAAGTGTTAACCATCTATCAAATGCTATAGTTTTAGTCATTGCTTATATTTGGTTTAGTCTACTGGGCTGTGGCTCACCCTATATGGGACATCATTTTTAGGTTCAGGTGATATGCCACCTCCAAGGACATAACTTGGAAGGTTTTGGGAGTTGAAGACTCTTTTTTTGTTGTTTTGTCATCTTTTGTTGTATTACATGCAAATTCAGGCCAAGGGCTTAATATGATATGAGTTAGTACTCTCTTTTGTATAACCAAATGTTGGCTTGGAAAGTTGTAAGCCGTTGGGCATTTACTTTTGTTGTCAACATGTAATACATTTGTAAGGACTACTCTGATGAATGGAAAAATACTCTTCTCATTTAGAGCCAATAATTTATTTATTTTTAATCTTTATCACTAGGTAGATAACAACGAATAATAAAAATTATCAAGAGAAGGCTAAGAATTTAATAAAAGATAAAGTTATAGATAAGGGCATTTCATAAGATAAAAAATTTAAAATAAAAAAAGATAATATGTGATAGAAGGAGAAAAAAATATATGAGTAAATCAAAATAAAGATTTAAATATATATGTTTTTGATAGATATATAGATTAATAAATCATATCTTTATCTAAATTTTGTTATTTTAATTTTTTATAAATCAATTATTTAATCTTTATCTTTATCTGTAAGACCACGAAATTAATTTTTTAAATTATTTAAATAATATTTTTTTTATCAATATAGGTCATGAAATAAATTTTCATAAATTATTTATGAATTTTTATATGTTTATCTATAATGAAATTAATTAAAGTACAAAATGAAAGAGGGGAAAAGGAGTAATTTCATTTTTTTAAAATCAATTATTTAACCTTTATCTTTATCTGTAGGCCATGAAATTAATTTTTATAAGTTATTTATCAATTTTTATATGTTTATTTATGAGAATAAATTTTAGATTATCTACAAGTTATGAAATTCATTTTTTAAATTAATTATTTAATTTTTATCTTTATCTGT